TAGGATAATCAGGATTAAAAGGGAATATCTCTCTCTCTCTCTCTCTCTCTCTCTCTCTCTCTCTCTCTCTCTCTCTCTCTCAGACATGTAAATTTCAGTATCTTGCGTAATGAAAAATCTACTATTATAGAATATGAATTCTGTATACATGTTAATGGTAATTATAACCAAATGTTCCAGATTTAATTGTATAACGAATTTATAATTCAAAGGCTTATAGTTGCAATAATGTCTCCGAATAAAATCAAGGGGGGGGGGGGCTTCAAAAGAATTACATACTCGTTAATTTTATGTTTTATGAATTAAAAGGAAAATACTTAAGGTTGTATGTACATACATATAATTATATAGCATTGCATAAATTTGTGTTCATTCGTATACTTTATCTAACATATCAACAGACCTTTGCAGATGATTTTGTATCATGTTTTTAGCGTAGCATTATTTCACACAGAAACGCGTAACTTTCACATAATGTTAACCCTTTGAGTACTAGTATTTCACAAAAATCCAAGAATCGCTTTTTCTCATCTTTAGTTACTTCTCGGTTATATAAAAAAATAGATCATGTATAATAAATAACACTATAAGACTTTTAATCAATGAAATATACGTGTTAAAACCAAATCCAATCTAAAGATCGATTTTCTTTCTTTTAAGTTGCAGATATCAATTTATTTCTAAAGGCTTTACACCTACTCTTCTTTCTCTCAGTCCCCTTTTGAGTACATATAATATTTTAGAATCGAAAATAAAACTCGGATTCCGGGATAATTTCGCATTCAAATTAGAGAATGAATTAAGAATATTTTTTAAAATATAATCATAACAGACATTACAGATTTACACTACGCTGACAACTTAAAACTATGCATATACTGAAAGCAGTAACCCAAGTAATCTTTCATGCAGAAGTGGATATGGAAACTCAAAGTCTAATTATTTTTTTTATGTGAAAAGTGTGGATATAGACGTCTGCGACGTCATGGATACTACCTCCGCCTTTATCTCGAAAGTTCTATTCCCATTTACAAGTCAGAGTTATCTATCTTTGCTCATTGTCACTACGTAAATAGAGAAAATGAATTTATTGACGGAACCTTAAATCTCCAAAATGCAGAATCCGATTGAATTAATGATCAATATGTTTAGTATTTTTGTAGAATAATTTGTATATACATCGCTGTAATGTATACTGCGTACAATATTATTTTCTTCAAAGTGCTTAATTGACACAGAACGGATATTTTTTTTAGATATAAATTTGTAAATCAAAAACTTTCAATATACAGACTAACACTACACAGCCAAATTTAAACTAATATGCATATAGTGAATTAAGTAACATGCAAAAGAGAGAATATTGAATGTGTAAATATGTTGATCTGGAGAGCGTATATATGTCTCTAACGTCTTCAATAAAATTTCCGCCTTCATCTCGAAAGTTCTATTCTCATTCACAGGTCAGAGTTATCTTTCTTTGCCCACCTTATACATACTACGTAAATAGAGAAAAATTCGGTACCGAAATTATACAAAATCCGGAATCTGATTTAAAAACAAATTATATATTTAGTATTTGTAGAAAAATGTCTGTTTTACATAAGAATATCTTGAAAAAATATCTAAAAACAAAAAAAATCAAAAATTGACCAAAAACAAATTCACTTCCGGTTCGGACAGGAAGTACTGGAAACACACAAAAACAACTTCAAAACAAATAGAATATCATGATCTAATACTCCTGTAAATTTCATATCTTTACCTCAAACCGTTTCCGAGAAAACTGCCGGACAAAAGTCCATTTTAAAATTCGAATATCGGCCATAACTTCGGACCGGAAGTGAATTTTTCAAAAAACGGAATTTTATATAAACTTCATATATCAACCAACTTACATGAGAAAAATTGTGAAAATCTATCCAGCCATCTCTGAGTAATCGCGCTCACAAAATTTGGGAGGAATAATAATAATAATAATAATAATAAAAAGAAACAATACAAACACTATAAGTCTTCCGTTGTGAACGGAAGACTTAATAAGAAACAGAGTAAAAACAATATGTTCCCCAACTTCGTTTGGGGAACATAATAAGAAACCGAGTAAAAACAATATGTTCCCAAACTCCGTTTGGGGAACATAATAAGTTTATGTTACACTAAACAGCTAAATATTAGTCTCTGTTATAGCCAGCGCAGCGAGTGTCAAAGCCATGCTCGTCACTGCGAGCTCTTAAAGCAACGCCTGGGCGAAGAGAAAAATTGGGACTACTGCACATTCATTCGATAGATTTTTTTCTGCAGTAATTTGGACCCACAATGCATCACTTCATACACAAAACTTAAAGCAATGTTTTCGCGATAATAACAACAAAAAACTTAAACAAATAATAATCTTGCCTTGATTTAATGAATTTATTGCAGAGAAATCGTCAATAAAATGGTTCTTCAGTAAAATCAGCCCTGTTCAGGCTTCAGTTTGGTAAAGCAACATGCATACAACTTCATGTGAGAGTCCTAGATGCATCGAATGTCACGTGCAGTTTGACTAGCCAGATCTAAATTAAAAATGAATGAGTATCTGCGCTCACCCTAATGGTCGCACCGTCAACATATTAGGAGATTGACTACCAAATGGGGGATAATTTATAACTGACCATTTGGTGGGCTGTGCCCAACCTGATAAATGTTAAACTTTAGTTTATGTCTTCAAACGTCATAGTATATGATTAAATCGAGGTGTGAATTTCTACGTAAAATACAAAGAATTTCATATTGACAGTGACTTTTTGAAAGTTTTGCCCACTCCACATGCTCCACTTTTCACTGTTTGTTTATGCTGACTAATTTTCTTGATATTTAGCAAAATATTAAATAATTTGGTTTTCAAAATAAGCAACATTTAAACTTACTGTTAGCAGTTCAAAGGCCCTTGGGTGGGTCGTTAGGCTGCAGGAGGGAGGACTATATTCCTTGGATCCTATCTGTATCTATCAAGTGACACTCTTATGAATAAATTTAACATAACTTGATCATCAACATCCCAAGACTGGCAAGAAGCAAAAATGTTTTCTGCACCGGAAGTTGTATCATCCCCTTTGTTTGGTTAATCTGTACATGAAATATTTCGTTCTTATTTTTATTTTAAAGTAAGCATTTACAAATATTCAGTTTCATTTATAAATCCATTTTGCAATGGCCCTGTTTGAATTGTTTAAATAAAAACAATTCAGAGACATATTCCTTCCCTTGAAATAAGAAATTTGTTTTAAAAGAAGTTTCACGTGCGACAGGAATAGAAATACAGTGAAACCCCGATTTCACGGACACCAAAACTTTTGTTTGCATGGCTTCTATCCTGAAATGATATTGAAAAGACAGTTAATTCTAAATACAATTGCGTGAAATCGCCTAAATGTACAATGGGAAGGGGTTCATACTCACTCCTCTAATAAACATACTCAAAATTTTTATTGACAAGCAAAGGAAAAGAAATTAAGTCAGCTAGAAAGAATTTTTATGAGGGGTGAACATTCCGCTTTCCTTTACAGATACATGTACATTTTCCTGGTTTTGTGTATCCGAGATAGTGGATCATACATGTTTGGGAATCCTGTATACTAACATCCTCGGAATTTGTGGAATTAATTGTTTAATATGTAGGTCTACTAAGCGGAGTAAGTTGAAAAAAAAAATGAAGTTGCTAGGATTCCATAGAAAATGCATACCTCTTTAAGCTGATAAAAATTAAGAGTCGTACATCGATCCATGAATCTTGGGAAGTAATACTGAGAGCTCTCGCTGAAGAACGAAATAATTAGAAGGTAAACCCCCTCCCCCTAAAAACACATATAAATTCAGGGAATTTATAGTCGATTTTAATTATTCAAGTGAACTTGAAATAGAAGATTAGATAGATTCTGGTACAGCTATTTCAAATTTTGGATATTTTACAAGAAAAAGACGTTAATGGTAACCTAACAACACGGCAAGCTTTATGATAAACGTGAACTGCATGATGACTTCAACTTTTCAAAAGTCAGCTTCCCTTACTTATGTAGCAATATACCCTTATCACCTGTACACTGGATCTATCAGCCTATCAATTGATATGATACGTAAGAACATGCTCGATCTACATATGAACACTTCCTAAAAAGAGGTAAGGTATTGACAAACTAATTGATGAAACAAGGATATCACCAGTCTCAATTGAGGTGGGCCCTATGGCCTAATCATTTCGCAGGATTTTTGAACGGCAGCGGATACAATGACCTAAGTCCTTAAGATCTACCCCCCCCCCCCCCAAGTAATTGTGGTCAACAAATACAACCTATCACTGAGTCCAAATTTATGATAAATGACGTTTTTCATGGTCATTGTTAGTCCATTATTTACACACTGAAATGTATGGCACGCCAATAGGTTTATCTCATTTTTGTGAATTTGGCGTGCCAAACATTTTTGTGAATTTGGCGTGCCATAGAAATGCCCACGGGTTTTTCCTATTTTCCCAATCATGACAAGCCTCTATAAAGGAGCATGCACACATTGGGTACTTATGACCATCTGGAGGGGATGATCACGTGTCCATGGCACCCAATCCAATCTCTGATATTTTGGAGGTTCGTGTTTGCTCTGCTCCTGATTTTTATAATTTAATTTAATGGGCTAGCTTTCCCAGAGTTTGAATACTATACATACTGTTCGTTATCTCGATCAGTGCCTTTCATCTTTCATAAAAAAAGACGGTAGAAACCCCCCTTCCTCCCCTTGACCTTTCACCTTTAGATCTCAGAATTAATAGGCCAGTATTGGTTTTCTTTGAGTCGTTTGGAGTTATGTTATATTGTCTTTCGGTTTTAATAAAGGAACTGACAAACGGATCCAAATTAACTGCACCCCTTTAGATCCTCCTTCGATTGTAGTACGCGGCCTTAGGTAAACATCCAAAACCTCCCGAGTTAACTTCCGAATGACTCAAGGTGATTTGAGAGGAAGCCGGTGACAGGAAAGAAACAGCTGAAGCAGGACAAGTACTTCAAGTAGCAAGAAGGAAGAAAACAGCAGAATACAGTGTCAACTTTCACTTTGATCATTAGCATTTATTGAAGAAGATGGCAGACATCAAACGAGCTCCATTAACTTCGGAGGCAGCCTGGAAAGAGCTGCAGAGTTATTACGATTCAAAGGGATCCAAGTTAAACATGCTGCAAATGTTTAAAGAGGATGCATCTAGATTTGACACGTTCAGGTATGAGTAATAAGCAATAGTCATGTCAAAGTACTTGAAAATGACAACAGTGCTTGTAGATGATACGCTTGTACTTCATTGTTTACATGTATTTGAATATAAATACAGGATGATGATAAATTATAAAAGATGATGTAGACATCATAGGTTCCTTCTTATCCTGTGCCTCTGAAAAAAATCTTGAAAATTTATTGGTTGATGAGAATACTTTATTTTACCATGTTATGCAGTGCCAATTAATTACCCACATAGCATTAATATGCATATGCCATGCTCGGTGTGTTGTTTTAATTTGAACACATTAAAAATTTTATTAAGGAGCCTAATTACGAAAGCCCAGACGGACAGACGGACGGACGGACGGAAGGACGTACAGACGGACGGACGGAATTAACGATTACTATATACCCTCCCGCTTTTCAAGCGGGGGGTATAATAATAAATTTATAAATAGTGACTAAAGATTAACAAAATCCTCACCCCTACCCGCCACACCTGCCAATTTTTCCCGACACTGAAAATGTTACTTTAAAAACTTGAAAGGCAATATAGCCTTGATAAATAAAAACCGTGTTCGTTTTCCTAATAGAGGGAATACTCAGTACATAAAAATAAAGTTTTCAATTACTTATCGTCATCTAAGGCTTTGATTTCTTGAATTAATTAACAATTATATATATACAATGCAGATTGCAAATATGAATAGGAATAAATGCAGCATTCATTTTATCTGATATCAAACAGTAGATTAGTCTAAATTAGCTGCAGAACTATAGCGTTATGATTTTATATTTAAGTCTCTGCATGACCATAGCGTTATGATCAAAGATTAAAATATACTCAGTTTTTATTTATCAAGGCTACATTGCCTTTCAAGTTTTTAAAGTAACATTTTCAGTTTCGGGAAAAATTGGCAGGTGTGGCGGGTAGGGGTGAGGATTTTGTTAATCTTTAGTCACTATTTATAAATTTATTATTATGTCAACAACCCTTTATATAAAGTAGACAATGCAAAAATATATATATTTCTGATATATGTATTCTATTTAATATTTAAGAAGTCATAATATAAATTGAAGTATATCTTGTTGATAAAAAATCCAATGATTATTTAACTTTCCTTCTAATATATATAACACTCTTTCTTGCATTGTAATTTAATCAAATGACTCATTTGTTATAAATATATTAAACGATTTATTGATAGATAAAACATAATAAAGGGGAGTAATCAAATGTTCAACCCGCATTTGATTGGTTAATCTGGATTTTGAATCTCGAAACTCGAATTTCGAATCTCGTATTTCGAACCTCGAATCTCGAATGAGCCTTTTGATTGGTTAATCTGGATCTTGAATCTCGAAACTCGAATTTCGAATCTCGAATTTTGAATCTCGTATTTCGAAACTTGAATCTCGAATGAGCCTTCTGGGCTTTCGTACCTAATAGCTTAATTTCACATAAGCATCAAACGACATCACAATGTGAACAAATGGTCACAGGATGTTTTGCTTAGAGAAAGTGAACGTTGTTAAAAATCTCCAACATGATAAATTTTTTTAGTAGATGCAAATATGCTTTGCTCAATATGCATTTTGTCAAGAACCCTAAATATTCCTGTATAACCCCTATGAGTGTCTACATGACAAATAAAAATCTCCAATTGACCAAATTATATTCTGCTGTCCATTAAAGTTTTCTGGGATTTGTCTTTGACTTATCAGATAAATCTTGTCTTATGGAAATCACCATTGAAACCTACACCCCGTAATCCATGTTTGTCAAAGCATGTAAATTATTCAGTAAGTTTGAAATGTCCACTAGTGTCTGAGAAATTTCATTTAAGACACTTAATGTCAGATGCAGGGGTGTTTTTCTGTGCCTGTTTTTTACCCTATTTTCTCAATATCACATCTATTCTGAGAATTCATAATGTAATATATACTAAGGGTTACATCCAAATAAGAAAATGTTCGACTTTAATCCCTCTCTATTTACATGAAATAGCCAAAAGTTAGAGACAAAAGATGGAGATTTCCTTCTGGACTATTCCAAGAACTTGGTGGACAGCACAACTATGGGGCTTTTGTTTAAGCTGGTAAGTGGACAAATAGAATTCTTTGCCTATTCATATGTATTTTTTTTACTTCAAAATGTGGAAATATTTTTATTTTTGGAGGTAAATACTTGTCAGCATCCTTAAATAAATGTTTTTGAGTCAAGGGGATGTAAGGTTTCCTAATAAACTGGTGATTTTACAATATAATGTAAATCACTAAGACCTGTAATACATGTATTTACTTTCATTATAAAAGGGGAAAAAAGACATTGAGAATTTTCTGTTTTATGATGGTTTGTAGGCTAAAGAGAGGAAAGTGGAAGAAATGAGGGCAGCAATGTTTGCAGGTGAAAAGATCAACTTCACAGAAAACAGAGCTGTTTTACATGTGGCTCTTAGAAATAAATCCAACACCCCTACAATGGTGGATGGAAAGGATGTAAGTGTATATACTAGAAGATATCATTTTACAAGATGGAAAGGAAAAGTACAAGATTTTATTTATGCAATAAAACTACCTACATTCAAATCTCTTGATCATGAACCCAGTGGGGCTAAGAAAACAATGAGATATCCAAGGATTTTAGGTAAAATGCTTAAAGAATTAGTGGTTTGGACTTCTTAGATTATTTTGATATATCCATGGTATTCGAGATATCAGTGTTTCAGATATCGAAGTTCAATTGTTTAAAATTTGGAAATTGCGTAAGATTCAAGGAATCTTGAAATATTAAATAACCTACGGATTGTTTGTTTGCAGGTCATGCCTGATGTGAATGCAGTATTAAAACACATGAGGGAATTCACTGATTCCGTACAGAGTGGTGATTGGAAAGGTTACACAGGGAAAGCCATTACTGATGTGGTCAATATCGGTATAGGAGGATCAGACCTGGTAAGTACATTATAAAATGTCAGTAATTTTATTAAAGTGTGATGGTTAAGCTACTTTGATTGCTTAGAGCAGATTGGTCAGTTTGTAGAGCACTGGCCTGTCTAGAGTTCAAGGGGTCATAGTTCAAATTCTTGTCTGTTTGGAAACCTCCCTGTTACAAAAGAAAATTGTGTCAGAAAGGGAGATAAATCTATAATAACACTGAAGTATAGAAAAAAATTTCAATATGTCTCATACAGAATATAACTTTATGTATATTTTTATTAATAATAGGGACCCCTCATGGTGACAGAAGCATTAAAGCCATACAAGACAGGCCCAAATGTTCATTTTGTCTCCAATATAGATGGCACACACATGGCTGAAACCCTGAAAAAGCTGAATCCTGAAACTACACTCTTCATCATTGCTTCCAAGGTAAAAAAAAAAAAAAACGATTCCAGTGTTCACATGAGGTCTTATTTCGTTCAGGATAATGTAGTAATTTGCAATTAAGATATGATAATCTCTACATTACGTGATGGTACTACAAACATTTATCCATTATTAACTGCATGGTTATTTTTATGCTTGTGTCTACACAGATACTTACAAAATTTGTGTCTCAACAAATATGACTTTGTACTTTACATTGTATTTTGTTTACAGACATTCACGACACAAGAAACCATCACCAATGCCCAGTCTGCCAAAGCCTGGTTATTGGAGGCAGCAAAACAGGTGAACAGATTACAGTCATTCCACATAATCTGGCTCTGAGGCCGTAAAACTTAGATGGGCTCACTTTTGATCCAGTCTCACTGAATGATCATAGGCATTTATGCCTGCTGTTCAATCCAATTCAATGAATAAAATAGATCTTAAACTAAACTCTCACTTTTGATCTCAGTCTCACTTTTCTCCTGCTTATTCTTTTGAAAAAAAGTGAGGCTGAGATCAAAAGTGAGATAGTCTAAGTGTTATGGCCCAGGAACCTGATAGGGTTAAGCAGTTGTTCCACAACATCTGATAGTGGTTAAAATAGTTATTCCAAATGATCTGATAGTGGTTAAAATTGGTTATTCAACATAATCTGACTGTGGAGCATTCTTGTGATGTTTTAATTTGAGTACATATAAAAATGTGAAGCAGGTGGTCAAGTATGTTTTATATATTTACAGGACAGTGCCATTGCCAAGCATTTTGTTGCTCTATCTACAAATGCAGTAAGTGGTTGCTCTTTGACTTTTCTTGGTGTTACATATGTAATTGCTTGTAATTAACATAGTTCATATTTACCAAAATAATTGAAAATATTAAATATGCAAAAGCTAAAATGGTTTCTGTTATAATAAGGACGAAAAATGGATACTAGTATACCATAAACAAAATGATTATTGTTTTAGATGGATTTGTACATATATGTACAATGTATATATACCATTGTTTTGCAGACAAAAGTTAAAGAATTTGGTATCGATGAAAAAAATATGTTTGGGTTTTGGGATGTAAGTACCCATTGTTTACTTAGTTTGTTTTTTCTCTCTGAATTTATGAATACAAACCCCTGTGATGAGAATGATAAAAAAGAGAAATTAACATGTAAAAACTGAAGTGTTACAACTATTTAACAGTGGGTAGGTGGCCGATATTCCCTCTGGTCAGCTATTGGACTGTCCATTGCACTCTACATTGGTAAGTCACATGTTTTTATGAGGATATTTACTCTATACAGGGAAAATTTCACCCAATTTCATATTTGCCACTTTTGTTCTTGTCATTAGACTTTAGTGTGCAAATTTGAAATGGGCAAGTTTAAAGAAAAAATTATTTTCATTATATTGTCTAAAATGCAATTTCCAAGAAGATGAATTTAAAATTGGGCAAAATAGGTTTCAAGTCTAAAAGCACAAAAATAACAAGGACCAAAAATAAATCTGTATACAGTAATAAATTTTGCTTTCCTCTTGTGTAACTTTTTGATACTGAACTTGAATACAATTTTTTTCTCACTACACTTAGGAATGGACAACTTTGAGGATTTGCAGGCAGGGGGACATTTCATGGACAACCACTTTGTCAATGCTCCATTAGAATCAAATGTAAGCTCTTAATGTGTAATTTCAGGATCTGTGTAATATTTGTAATGTGTTACATTTACATTTATTATTTCGTAGATACCTGTGATCCTAGCTCTGCTTGGAGTTTGGTACAACAATTTCTTTGGAGCAGAAACTCAAACATTGCTACCATATGATCAAGTAAGCCAGAGACATGTATATGTATATTTTATATAAATTTGATGGGAGGAATACTTTTTAAGCTCGCCAATATAAGGTCAAGGTCTGTAATGAGGAATATTGATCTTTCATATATCTGATAGATCTTATTGTACTGTTATTTGGAATGAGGCATTGCGTTTCTATTTGATAACATTTGTCACAGTAAACTATGACTTCTTTGGTTATGTATCTTAAAAAATGAAAGAAAAAAATACCAAAGATCTCCTGAATCGTGCCTTTATAGCAGAGATATTTGGCTGTAAATTTGTAATATTTTATACACTGTACATGTATGTCATAGGACATCCCTGATACCTTACAACATCTCTTACAGTATATGCACCGATTTGCAGCCTACTTCCAGCAAGGAGATATGGAGAGTAATGGGAAGTACATCACAAGGAGTGGACAGAAATGTAATTATAAAACAGGACCCATCATCTGGGGAGAGCCAGGAACTAATGGACAGCATGCATTCTACCAGCTTATCCATCAAGGTCAGGGGTTAATTAATTAAATAGTAGGTAATGATTGTTTTCTACATTCAAAAATTTCTTTAATTTGTTTACAAATCTCTTTTCTCTCTCTGCAGGAACTAGGTTAATTCCCTGTGACTTTTTAATGCCAGTGAAAACCCAAAATCCAATTCAAAATGGACTACATCATGAGGTAAATATCTTCCTTTTTGTTTTCCTTTTCAATATGTTCCTGATATAGGTATAAAGAATCTTAGTAATAAGAGGCAGATTTAAAAACTGTGAACTTTAATGATCAAACTCACTTGGATCTTAATGTTTTGTTTGTAGATTTTGACAGCAAACTTCCTGGCTCAGACTGAGGCTCTGATGAAGGGGAAGACTGTAGATGAAGCCAGAGATGAACTCGTGAAGTCAGGAATGTCACAGGCTGACATTGATCATATTCTTCCTCACAAGGTCAGTAAATAAATAGGTCATGTAAAACTAGGTTATCAAATAAATAGGTCAAGTTTAAAAGGTCGGCAAATAAATAGGTCAAGTGAAAAATTTAAAAAAATTATGATAATCTCTTCATTCTGAGATACCTCTATTAGATATGATATCAGATCATCTTTATTAAAACTTTTCTAAATGCATATATGTATGGTCAATATGAAAAAGTTAAACAAAATATAATTTTTCTAGGTGTTTGAGGGTAACAGACCAAGCAACTCCATTCTGTTCCAAAAGCTTACACCATTCACACTAGGTCTTCTCATAGGTAAGTCATGAAAAAATGAAACTTATGTCAAAGCATCCTTAGGTATTGTTTCAAGTTTGTTTAAATTATATCCCTTGGGTTAGGGTCAAGCATCATTAAGTGCTTAGAATTTTGCATATATCAAATGATAAATACAGCACAAATCTTTTCTAAGGGACCAATGTCCAGAAGTGTTGAAACTTACGTGAAAGCTTCAACACATTGTGGAAATAATTTTTTTTAAATCATGAACTATGTAAGATGGGCAAAATAGTTACTGTAGTCCTTTATCTAACCTTGTTCTATGTATATTTTTAAAAAGGTTTCGTACTTTTTTCTTTCCTTTAGCAATGTATGAACACAAGATCTTTGTCCAGGGAACCATCTGGGATATCAACTCATATGATCAGTGGGGGTAAGTTAGCTTTATTTTCATATTCTAAACACTTTCCTGAAAACAATTTGAATTATACAAAGCATGAAATCTTGGAATATAAATACCCATTACACATTTGTGTATGTATTGCAAAATATTGTATAAAATTGAGACTTTTTCTGTTGTTATAGTGTTGAACTAGGAAAACAGCTAGCAAAAGTAATTCAGCCAGAACTGAGAGGAAAAGATACAGTTTCGAGTCATGATGGTTCTACAAATGGACTTATCAACTTCATCAAGGCTCACATGTGATCTTCAGATTTTAAAACATTGAAACAAAGACATAATATAGTTCTTTGATTAGCAGTTTTATGTACAATTTGATCTGAAGGTTGCTGCCATATGACAGAAGGTGACACAAATATACAGTGGGCTATCATTGGTGCTTAGCATAGAGACACAGAAAGTAATGAGTCAAAGAATAACTTAAGTTTTAGTGTGTATTTAAAATAATGATTTATCTTTTGTTGGATTGTTATCATTTTTAAATGGTTACTGATATTGATTTGCATTTGAAGGATTTACTGCAATGCATATACTTTTTCATTTTACCGATTATTCCATTTCAATATATATATACATTGTATATGTATTTATTATTTATACTAAAATCAATTTAAAGCTGTTGAAAAAAAAAAAACTGCTATTTTTCTTTTTACTTGAGTACTAAAATTTCGATTTCACAAGATGTCCATCTTCACTATCTATGTGTTTTCAGTCCACTTCACTCCAATGGACCAAAAATCCTTGGCTAGTGAAGATGTAATATGCCAAACAAACAGGCTGTGTTGGTAATGAAGTATTAATTTTCTGTCAGATTAATCAGCACATAATATCTCTTGAAGATGTACTTTACATATTATATGTAGATGTACAGTAAAACTCCTTCAAACCGACCAACTGCTGGACTTAATAAAATGGCCAGACTGTATAATGAAATGAGGCAGTTCAAGGATCAATATTCTGATAAGTTGTACAACTCTTTCACTGTGACCTGCTGAAGTGAACCATCATCCTTGTACATGTTAGTTGATAATGTGCCCAGTGTTTTTTAGCTCCTTTTCCCCCAATAATTCCTCTTGTTAAGGGCCATACAGCATAAATAAAGAGGTTCTGTGAACAGTTAGCTCACAAAACAATACCCATACCCACTCCCATTACAAGTATAATGGCAGTTTAATGAATAGATGGACATATAACAGATGGATGTAAAGATGGTCACTCATCACTATCTTCTTATTCCTCTTCTTTCAGAGGTATAATAAAGATCTTGACCTATGGTTACTCTGAGAAAAATTTGATAGCTATGAGACACATTCCAGAAAGTCGATGCACACTGCTTGAGTGACAATAAAATTGGCTCAGAGTCTTCTGCTTAAACTGAATTTTGATATTCCATAATTTTGTACACATCTATATAAAAATATGAATAAACAGAAACTGGATCAACATTTAAAAATTTATTTCTTCCTCACAAAACATACTTGGAAATAAATCAGTTGTAACAGAAAAGTCTTCACAGTAGTACTTATATTTTCTATCCATGAAAAAATTGTCCTTCGAGTCTTTTTTTTTTTCTCTCTTGGCAATCCAGTGTCATTTTCATTTGGTCACTAATAAATATTCCTAACTCGGCCTCTTTAGGGTTTGGGACTGCCCTTTGGACCGCCAGGTTTGAGGGCCCTGAGTACAGTTTTGCTGGGTTTACTGTAGTTGGGAACGACGATTTTATGTTTCAGTGATGACCAGATCCTTCTCTTGTAATAGTATGATCCTATTCCCAGAATTACCATTAATGTATAGAACTGAAAATAAACACAATATGTTAGGTAAGTGATTCTTTTTCATGCCTATTATATCAGAAGTCAAGTATAGTAAAACATTCACAGTGAATATGCTTTTAGAGAATCTGAATTCATGCTTACAAGTGTTGCAATAAAGTAATTTTAATTCCTTCTAGTTTTATGACTTATCCCACTTAAAGAATATAAAGAAGTATTGTTAATGAATCAAAATTATATGCATGAATCCCTGGAATTTGGCTATAAGCATCTTTTACTGATATATATTCTCAAGTACATGTGTTACATGCTGCTTCAGGAACCAAAGGAACACAACTACTGTTTCACCTATATCCCATTGGAGATATTTTTTGTTAGAATACTTAAATTTGTGATTGCAGCATGGATACTTTTAAAACTAAATGTATATACTAGACAGGAAATCCTACAACTACATGTGGATATCAACATAATAAGACCACCCCTTCTCTCTCTCTCTCTCTCTACATATTTTGGTGGAGAAGAATCAACCCAACAATGAATAAAAATAAATTTTTTTTTGAAAGAAAAATTCATTTAATTTTTACTCACCTTAAGTTCTAGACTTTTCCTAGCATCCCAGAATGGCTCTCCGGCCCATGTGAGGAAAGTGACAACATCCTTAGCCAGCTGACTTTGTGTGGCAGGGGTACCTGAAAAATGATGTCCAGTGATTGATTTCATTTTTTTTTTTCCCCAAGCACCAAAACTGAGTGACAAAGATGGAGATGTTTTTAAATGTATGCTTAAACTTAAGGATATCAAAATGTGTAACTGTTCAAGTGAGATTCTAATGCAATTGTTTGAAGCAGTAAAATGAGCATTAATGAGAGTGAAATATTTTCATTGTGACGTCATAATAGAGCGACACGAAAACACAATGCTCTGTGACATACTGGTATATCATGTAACAAAACGCAACAAAACAAGATGTAAACAACAAAAAAAGGCATAGATTGCATTAGAATGGGAATAACTTCTAATCTGGTATTTGCGTACTCGTAAAACTCAGTTTGCGACCGTTAAATCGGCATTAACAGTCCCAAATACCAAATTAGAAGATAGTTATTCCCTAATTTTTGCCCCATTTGGTTTTTTTTCCACCAAGATTGACTGATTAAAATACACATCACTATATTTTATAGTAACAATACAGAGGCTAGAACTTGTCACGAGCTACTGGTATAAATCAGAGTCATGAGCTCTGGAACTTTTTGCCTTACCATCATCATATTCAATAATTTCATTATAGAGAGCTTGTGCCATGGCGATTAATCCTCCTGGGAAATATGGATTGTAGTGGACGCCCTCAGGAACATTAACTCCTGCCGGAGGATCACAGTAGCCAGTCAGAAGGGAGAAAATATAGTCCTATAATATTAATTTATATAAATTGAGTTGTAGTCTTACCACATTTATAACCAAACTTAAAAGGTGTACATGTATACCAAGGCCATATTGTATGAAAATGTTGATTTCACAAAGATATAATTTTGAAGATGTTCTACCTGGGTTATAGTTTTCCAATTTCTCAATACCACTGCATTTTAATACATAATTCCGAATCTGACATACATATCATATAATCTATTTGATGACTTTTAAATTTCATCAAAATAACAATGGCCTGAGCAGGACTCCATACCTCTCCGCCTTCTCGTCCCAGGACAACATAGGAGAGATCTGGTGGGGCCACTCCATTGTTAGCATTCTCAGCCTGAAGCTGGTTGTCATATGGACTTGGGATTGAGTCGTATAGTTTCCCTGGACGTTTAATTGGCATGCAGTTCTCATCATACCCATCAATGACTTGGAACTGCAGATATATAATGAATGAAAAATTATTTAATCTTGAGTAAAAAAAAAAACCTACCAGATTAAATATCATGAATGTTTAAGTTACAAATTATGCAAAAATTTACAGAAAGTATTGAAAAGGTGTTTTAATATTAGAGAGCTTATATTAATATTTTGACCTTGACCTTTGACAAATTGACCTCAATATATATAGGTGAGACTATCTACTAAATGAATAGTAAGTATAGATCTGCTACGTAAGACAATATACAGCCATTTTTTATATCATTCATAGTGTAAACAAGGCAAAAAATGTTAACCTTAACCTTTGCTTGATCTCACAAAATATAAATTTTAAAAGTGTATATCCTCCTAACAGTATTTCCCTATATTATTGAAAATGAAGATGAGAAGCTGAAATTCTCAACTCAGGTATATTAGGGTCACACAAAAACACTTTTTCTAACCCTGTGCCTCAAATGTGAACAAAATTTATAAATGGTGGCATTTAATCTGCTATTTCTTCATATATAACTAAATCTAAATATAATTCAAAGTTTTCCTTACATCAGCAGCCTCTGCCTTGGCCTCCTCTTCACTGAAGATGACCCCCACCATCTCCCTGAATCGTACCTGTTCCACACTGTGACATGCTGAGCACACCTGTTTGTACACCTGGTATCCCCTCCTTACACTGAAATAAAAAAAAAATCAAGGTTAATCCAGGTTAATATATAATAAAAGAAAATTATCATTTCATAACACAGTACCTACATTGACTTATGTATTATAGGTCTGTATTCATTATATCCATAATAAGATGCAAGTGGACAAAATGTCTTTAACAATGGCAAATTCTAATTTGATCCTTGACTGTCTTTGCTCATTGACCTTGTTATTATAAAATGATTGGCATGCTAGGCTTCCAAAGAAGCTAGTTTTATAATTCCTGTGAAAATAAAACGTCAGAATGACAAACTATGTTTAAGGGGAAACCCTTTCCATATACCTTATTACACAGATATGAGAAATTATTAAACATTAGTGCAGACTATCCTTGGTTCTTTGTTCTCATTAAAAAATAAAGGAACAAGCAAGTTTTGATGCACATAGCCATTTGCTAAAGCAGGAAATCTCTACATGATGTCTTTAAAGGAAAGAAGGGGGTCCATACCTTTTCTTGTCAAGCTCTGTGAAAAATCCTGAGTGATACCAGGGATATTTGGGAGGGTGCAGGTGAAGTTCTGTTGAGGCATGGACAGCTCCTTTGATGCTTACATACAATCCTACAGCCCCTACTGCTGCTGTGGCACCAGCTATTAAACCAACCTATCAAACACAATGTAAGAATTTATTTCTCTTGTCAACAACAATGGTTTCTAAAGAAAGGAAGTCTCTGGCACAATGACTCATTTGAAAGTCTGATATATTTTTATTTTCAACTTACAATCTTAGCTCCTTTTGGTGTAGGATTATTAAAACTGCCAAAATTAGCCTGAAATTACAGAGTGAAAAGCAATTCAATGAACATGATGAACAGAAAAATAACTGTAAATGAACTGTTAATACATAATACATTCATAATCATAACTTCATGTTACATGATTTTAATTACTGTATACAGGGAAATTTTCGCCCCCGTTTTATTTTTGCCCCTCCTTCATTTGGGCTAATTTAAAACAGGGCGAAATGAAATAGTACAGTAAAATTTCTTTAATAAAACTATGATTGGGCGAATTTAAAACGGGGCAAAATTAATTGCATGTGTGAAAGGGTGAAAATTACACGGGGCGAAAATAACCCTGTATACAGTATTTTCTTCGGGACAAAGGAGCTATAATTTTGAATGAGATTGCCTTGGACAAGGTTTGTTCAGCAGTATCTATGATTTTTTTTTGTTTTGTTTTTTTTTGTTTAACATATTTTTCCTGCTACTTCAAAAATAAGCTATTTTCAATCCAATTTAAGTGGCTGAAACTGCAATATATTACAGGGCCGTCAATCTCTCTAATTTGGGTCAGATAAACAGACACTTTTC